GCCCCTCCCCCCGCAGTGAGATCAGCGAGATCACGAGCATCAAGAAGGAGGACGTGATCTCCACGCTGCAGTACCTGAACCTCATCAACTACTACAAGGTGGGGCCCAAACACACCTGGGGGGGAGCCCACACACCTGGGGGGGCCAACACACACCTGGGGGGGCTCCACACACCTGGGGGGGCCATGAAATACCTCCCTGTGTCCCCCTTTGGACACCTGGCTGACACACCTGTGCACACCTGTACAGGGTGAGTGCACCCTGACACACCGGTGCACACCTGTACAGGGTCCTTACACTCGGCCACACATCTCACATGTGCATACCTCTACACACCTGTCTCACCTGTCCCACGTGTGCACACCTGTGCACACCTGTGCACACCTGCACACACCTGTCTCACCTGTGCAGTGTCAGTACACCCTGACACACCTGTGCACACCTGTGCACAACTGTCCCACCTGCAGGGTCAGTACATCCTGACACACCTGTGCACACCTGCACACACCTGTCTCACCTGTGCAGTGTCAGTACACCCTGACACACCTGCACACACCTGTGCACACCTGTCCCACCTGCAGGGTCAGTACATCCTGACACACCTGACACACCTGCACACACCTGTCTCACCTGTCCCACAGGGTCAGTACATCCTGACGCTGTCTGAGGACATTGTTGAGAGCCACGAGCACGCACACCTGCACACACCTATACACACATCTGACACACCTGTGCACACCTGTCTCACCTGTCCCACAGGGCCAGTACACCCTGACACACCCGTGCACACCTGTCTCACCTGTTCCACAGGGCCAGTACATCCTGACACACCCGTGCACACACCTGCACACACCTGTCTCACCTGTCCCGCAGGGCCAGTACATCCTGACGCTGTCCGAGGACATTGTTGAGAGCCACGAGCACGCACACGTGTACATACCTGACACACCTGCACACACCTGTGCACACCTGTCTCACCTGTGCAGGGTCAGTACACCCTGACACACCTGTGCACACCTGTCTCACCTGCAGAGTCAGTACACCCTGACACACCTGCACACACCTGTCTCACCCGTCCCACAGGGTCAGTACACCCTGACACACCTGCACACACCTATACACACACCTGACACACCTGTGCACACCTGTCTCACCTGTCCCACAGGGTCAGTACACCCTAACACACCTGCACACACCTGCACACACCTGCACACACCTGTCTCACCTGCAGGGCCAGTACATCCTGACGCTGTCCGAGGACATCGTCGAGGGCCACGAGCGCGCCATGCTCAAGCGTTTGCTGCGCATCGACGCCAAGTGCCTGCACTTCACCCCCAAGGACTGGAGC